TCTTGGAGGACCAACTCCAGTTTCGGTGGAAACATTGTTTGGAGTTATGACATTTTTGCAGGTGCTTTTTTTTTTTTAGCTTCAAGGGATTCTTTTGAGGGCTTAAGTATGTAAAAAAATGACATATCAAGCCCATACAAGATCCACATTCTGGAGCTTTCTACAGTAGCCTATCACATGGTCATCATCAGCAAGCTTTGCATCAGTAGATTTGTAAACGGGCCCTATTATACTTTTGGGGGTTTCCCTTTCCTGTAGTGTGATATATAGTGCATGTTAATGGTCTGCAAAGGCTCCAACTTAAAGTTCCCCTCCAGAGAGAATTTCTTCTCCCCCCCCTGCTTGAAAGGCCTCCATTGGACTCCTTTGTTTACTTTCCTAACATAGTGACATCACTATGTAACACTTGTGCTTCTATTGGCTAGAAGCACAAGTGAGGTGTTCCAGGCACGTCCAGCTGGGAAGAGACCAAGGGGTAGACCTAGGACCAGGTGGAGGGATGATATCTCTTGGCTGGCCTGGGAGCGCCTTGGGCTCCCCCAGTCAGAGCTGGTTGATGTGGCCAGGGGAAAGTTTGGGGGGGTCAACTCAGTGAACAACAGATACCAAGGATGCTGGCTGATGAAGAAGACGAAGTAATCTAGGTAGCCAATATAAGGCTTAGTCGTCTTGCCAAATAGTGAGCCTGTGTTGATGTATGAAAACTATGTTAGAACTGGTTTATAAATGGTTCTTAATGATTAATAAAGTGTTTACAACCTAATTCATAACCTAATTATAAACATTTATGAATCCTTTATAAGGGTAGTCTTATTGTAAAGTGGTACCAAAACATTTAAGTTAGAGGCTGGTGAATGCATGACGGTCCTCTATTATTTATGTCTGTTTGTATTTGTGTGTGTGTGTGTGTGTGTGTGTGTGTGTGTGTGTGTGTGTGTGTGTGTGTGTGTGTGTGTGTGTGTGTGTGTGTGCGTGCGTGTGCGCGTGTGCATGTGTGCGTGTGTTTGGTTTCAGGCTCTTTGCATGTGACCCAGGGTCCCCGAGCTGCTAAAAGCACAACATTCAACTCAATTAGCGGCATGCATAATTGATAGCTGTCTGGGAGAGTATTTGTATTTACACTGGAATTAAAAGCCTCCGGTGTCAGCTGTCACATCTGAGGGGCGATAAGTGTGTGTGTAAGTGGTGTGAGTGTGTTTGTGTGTTAAAGGAGGTGAATGTATAGCGATGCCTGTGTATCCTAAGCTTAAATGAATTGCTGCTGCTGTGAGTTTCACTTTCTGTCTCCTTCTCAGCTGCAGTGCAAACTAAATCACAGCTAATCCACCTTCAAACACAGCGACACACACTGAGTTGGGGTTAAGTAGTCCAGCATTATCTTGTTACCTGCTTCTCACTGAAATCACTTTAAAAAAAAAAAACACTTTCAGATTTCAGTCTGAGTATTATTGTTTTCTCCTGGGCCTTTGGCACCAATACCAAAACAAAAGCTCACTATACTATATATAAACATGATTTTACCCAAACAAAATCATATGTTTAATGGCAGGGGAAGAAGTTATCTTATATTAAATTAGCATATTACTTTACAAATAGGCACATTTTTTGTAGGGATTTAAGTGTTATTTATTCAATTTTAGAGGTGGTGGTAGCTGTTTCCATTCTTTATGCTAAGCTAGGCTAACTAGCTGCTGGTATAGCTTCAAATGTTATTTACTGCAGGGACATAAAGTGGTTATCAATCTTTTTATCGAACTCTTTACTTTCCACTATGATTTATTCAGTTACTTAATAAATGTTGTATAAATGCAAGCAGCTGTGCAAAATCCTGCCTGAATAAAAAAGCCAAAAATTGGCAGAATTTCTTAAACATTTTTAATTAGCGACTGTCGAATCAGAAATAATAAACTTTAATAAAACTGCTTTACCTTTTTGGTTCAGAGAGGAGAACACCTTGTGTCTCCTTCACTCCTCCTATCATATCCCTGCCCTCTGAGCACTCTAAAGGCCGCTACACACCCACCTGAGACCAAAGAACGCGTACCGAAGGCGTCCCGACTTTTACGTCAGCTTCGTCGCCTGCGTCGGCTACGCCGCCCGCTACGCCGCCCGCCTACGAACACACCGCAAATACTTCAGTCGACGAGTGGCAATAACTGTCCTTACCAGCAGGCAGCGGTAGTGTGAACAGCCAATCAGAGTGATTGCTTGTCCCGACTTTCTCTGATCTCCCGATTCAACATGTTGAATCGGCCGCGGGAGGCGTCGGGAGGTGTGAAAAGGTGCCGTAAAGAGACGACGGTGCGGGACACACAAACCTGAGTAGGGCGCCGCGAATGCCCGACTGCCTCTGACGGCCTCTGACAGCCTCTGACTCCCAAAATCGGGCTGGTGTGTCCGGGCCTTAACACACACCTGTGCGTAATAGAGTTCCTATTTCTTCCCGGCTTTTTCTTTTTTCCTTTTTCCTTTTTCCTTGTGCTTCCTATCATCTCTGACCCTTTACACCCTCACTTGTAATGATTGTAATACAAGCCTTTTTTTCTGCTACCCTTTGTCACTCCCGGTAATAGCATCCATTGACCTGGACTCATCTCTGCTCACAAACAACTCACAGTGAGCAGGTAGTGCTGTAAATAAGAATTTAAGATTATCTCCCAAATGTTTTTGGTGGATGAATCAATCAGTTGTTGGAATTGAAAACTGGAAAATGCCCCACATCATTTCCAGGTCCGTTTTAATATCACTTAAAGGGGCCCTATTCTGCACATTTTCAGGTTCATATCGGTATGTAGTGTCTCTACTGTGACATGTCTCCATGCTTTAATGTTCAAAAAGCTCTTTATTTGTCTCATACTGCCTGTGCTGCAGCACCTCTTTTCACCCTCTGTCTGAAACCAGAGCCCAGTCTGCTCTAATTGGTTAGCTGGCCGGCTCTGTTCTGATTAGTCAACCGCTAAGAGATGTCTCGCCCCTTAGCCTATCGCGTACAATGTGTTCGAGTGCTAGCCAATAGAAGCGTGAGTGTGTGGGAGAGTAACTCCCTCTGGAGGAAACACAGGGATTTCAAAATCTATATAACAAACTACAGGAAAGGGTAAATCCCCAAAAACATAATAAGACCCCTTTAATTGCATGTTTTGTCCAACAAAAATACAAAAAAAAAACAATGAAAAACTCAATTTACAGTAACATCGGACAAAAAGATATAACAAAAATATAGTGACACAAACTGATAAATCAACAAAATAATTGATATTGGGAAAAAACATGAATTGCAGCCCAACAGATTAATATTGATTGTCAAAAGTGTTACTTTCAATTTGTTTTCAAAAGATTGATTCATAAAAAAAACTTATGGGAAACTAGATTTATGAAGATTGTTCTTGATATTTTGTTTCTTGGAGATTTGAACCACTTTTGAAAGGCATTGTTTTACCCAACAAATCAAAAATAATCAGTGTCACAAATGCTGGTTTTGACCTGGGCTCCCTGTAGGGGGGAGAGAAGCAGCGAGGTTGTAGGAAAGGGAGGGGGGAGGTACAAGTGTGTGTGTGTGTGTGTGTGTGTGTGTGTGTGTGTGTGTGTGTGTGTGTGTGTGTGTGTGTGTGTGTGTGTGTGTGTGTGTGTGTGTGTGTGTGTGTGTGTGTGTGTGTGTGTGTGTGTGTGTGTGTGTGTGTGTGTGTGTGTGTGTGTGTGTGTGTGTGTGTGTGTGGTGTGTGTGTGTGTGTGTGTGTGTGTGTGTGTGTGTGTGTGTGTGTGTGTGGTTGGGGGTGAGATGAGATAGAGGGTTTAAGATCCGGTCCATCCGTCCTTCAGTCCCTTCAGACTTGAAGTGGGCAGACTGATCTTTATTCATCTGACGGAGCGTCTTCCACTCTCGCTCCAATCAAGGTAACACGACCAATTTAATTATTATCACACTCACACGGGACGCTTTAATTAACTCGCTCTCTGCAAACGAGATAATTGTAAGGGGAGAATTCTTATAAGTGATTAGTGGAAATAGATCTGAAATGTGTCTAAAAAATACTCTCTCTGTGGACGTTTTGTGCTTGATGATGACTTTTTTTTTTATTGTAGCATTAAAAGTAATTGTTGTTATCATTAGACTAAACACACGCACTGAGCTGTTCTCATCAAGGTTTCAATCTGTAGTTAACTAACAAAACAGCCAATAAAAAGTGAGGATAAAAATATCCATTTGACTCTTATTCCTTTTAAATCTCCTCTCAGCATGATTGCACTTTTATTGCTGTGTCATGTTTGAATTCATGTTGTGTTAAGGCCTTTTGAAACCAGAAGTGTATTTGTATAAATGCCTATAAAATGTCTCGCCTATAGTGTCCTGATAATGACCCTGCAATGATCATGTGCGAGTGCACTGCTGCACAGGGGGAAAAGGGAAATAAAATAAGAGGTAAGGGGGAGACATCGTTTTTTTGTTGCTTCAAGATAAGAGGATATTACAGCTCGTGGAAGAGGGCTTATATAGAAGAGGAGACATCATTCAGCGGGGGAAAGGGTTATGTGAAGTACTTCTTCAAGAGATTAGTTTTCAGCCTTCTAGGGAAAATGGTGCTGCTCCGAATCTTCTTGGAAGGTCACTGTGTCTGTGGGCGGACAATGTGTGTGTTTATGGGAGGAAATGGTTGTAAAAAAAATGTGCAGAGAAAGTGATGCTTTCACACATTCATGTAGCTCTAATCTGAAATCCACTATTACGTTTAATTTCAAGCACATTATGAGCTGACAAAGATCTATAAACGTTATATTTATTTACAATTATTTTCGTATTGATGTAGGAGACTTTGCTCTGGGTTTAGATTTATCATTAAATGAATATGTGTGAAGATAATTACATTTTATTAGTGATATTAAGTGCTGAAGTTGCACTGATCGATCACATCTGTGCTGAGTTCTAATGGCTAATTGAAGACCACATGACAGCTAATTCATAATTGTTTTAAGCTATTTTAAACCTTCCGTAAACGTTTCAGATGCAGTGCAGCTGCAGCTCCTCGGCAGCGGGACACCTTTCATCGCCTTACTGGAGTCGAAGTAAGAGTGTGTTTATTCTCTGTTATTTATTTACATAATGTGGGTTTGTGTGGGATGTCGTTTGTGTGGGTGATTGTTCATTTTTTGTAAGAATTATTATATATTGCAGTGTGTTGCAGCCTGTACAGAGGCACGATACACATAAAAACAAAGCAACAGTCAAATCATCCCTGACAAATAATGCGGAACACATTTTTGAAAACAATAACACATTTTGAAGTTGCCCTATTTTGACCTGTCATTTTTTGCGCCCCACTATTCTTTACTTTAATTATTGCAACTTTTTATGGAGGGATTGTGGCCACTGTGGCATGTGTTGCATTTTACAGCTGTATATATGTTTAAACTCCTTTATTCACTGTCAGGTCGTTTAATCTACATCAGTGCACTCTATAAGATCATATATATAAATATTAGGCCGACACGGAATATAGCATTGCAAGAGTCCCTCGACAAAAAGCCAATTGGATAGTTCATTTTTCCGTTATTGCAGAAAATACGATTTTTGGCATGCACACGTTCATGACACTCACACGTTTTGTTCAGCAGGATAATCTCCACATATCAACACTACTCGATTTCTGAAGCGTAAATGCAATCGCCAGGAGTAAATAGCTAACGTAAGGCTCTAAAGAGGAACTACAGCTGCACGGTCACATGACTTCACGTCAACAAAGCTAAGCTAAAGGCGGCTAACGTTTTGCATGATGACGTTTAATCGTCTCATTTACACACTCGTTTGCAACCAACGTATTTATTGACACTTAAAAAGCTTCAGACGTTCTGTAAATACTCTTCAGATTGTGTTAACCACAGAACTTATTTCAGGCATCTTACCAAAAAGATGTACAAAAATCATTGGTAAACATTTTGGTAAAATGCCAACTCATTTCTGGGTTTAAGGACTCATTCCTGTATCACTCTATTGTCAATGCAAGAGTTTATTTATCTTAAGCTCTCAAAGAAACACTTCATCCTGCAATTTTTTACCAACATACTGAACAAACACATCTGGAGACACATAGTTTTCAATGGATAGTTGTTCGGAGATGAACAACTGTAACCTATAAAGTAACTTAAGCTTTGAGATAAATGCATGTCAAAAGTACAATATGAACCTCTTTGATGCAGTGGAGTAGAAGTATGAAGTTTCATGTAATGATTTTACAGCTTGCATTAAGGATAGTACTTAAGTATACGTACTTAGTAACATTTCACCCCTGATGTTAGCTTATTTCACTATTGTCAAACATCACGTCTTGACAAACACTCAATCTCCCAAACATCGTGTCATTAAGCTACGAATTATGCATTTTCGTACGTTAAATTGCAGCTTTGTTTCATGAGCATAATCAAACAAGCAGGATGTGAGGTGCATTATGCTGAATACACTTTCTTCATATCTAAATGAAAAATGTGCAGATATCTGTCTATCCTCTGAGAAACTTAAAACTTTGTAACACATAATCATGTTGTGAACATAATGAGCTTGAAATTGTTTTTCTCTTAATGGAGGAGCGATTAGTTTTACTCAAAAGAAAAACAAAGCTTAATGATCACCACAAAAGATAATAGCATAAATAATTAAACATGCTCTGTGTCGGCTCTGGCTCTAGATAAAGTGTCATTTTTGACTGGTGAAATGTTTCATATTTCAATGTGTTGTCAACAACCAATTTATAGTCATTTGGGACATTGTTGTTATAGAAACGAACAAATAATACGGATGCAGGAACCTCTGCACATGAGCCTAATTGGAGCTTAAACCAGCGACTCAGCAGATCTGGAATGATAAGATTTGAAGCAGATGGTTATATTAGACAATGGTGCAGCAAGCAAGAATATATAGTTTATATCCCAAAATGCCGTAGCTTCATCTTGCACACATGCTTACGATCTGGTGCCTTGCTTACCTTAGTCGAAAGGTGCAAATGCTTTAAAACGGCCCAAACCACTTACATTTTAAACGTGTTGTCTTGGGCCGTTGTAGCGTGTTTACACCTGTGGGCCACCGTAGGTTAATGCCCAGATACGTTACTCACTTCTGAGTCATTCGCAAAGATTGAGAGAGGGATACGAAAACCAATTTCCCCCTGGGATTACCAAAGTATTTCTGATTCTGATTCTGATTGGAGTAACCAATAGCTGCTGGCTCAAAACACAGGCAGCGCAAACAACAGTACAATTCAGAAACAATTGGTATACAAGCAAATACAAGATTAGCAGTAGCACCATAACCATGGATTAATCTGGTGATGTAGTAGGGTGTAGAAATAAATATTAGAGCAATAGCAGACACAGATTTCCTCTTAAAAACACAGAATCCCTGTCATTACCGTGTTGTGCATTACTGAGCCTGTTACCTCAGACTGTTTGGTTACTACTGACTTCTTAACTCACCAAGGACACTTCACGTATTCATGGGCCGACGGCAGTGCATTAAACAGCGGTCTGTCACAGATTAATATACATGGGTTACCACTAAAATGGATATTTGGCATTTAAATAAAGGTTGTTGTCTAGGGTGTTCCCGTTGACCTGGCTGGTGGATAATAAAAACAGGAAACACTCTGCATTTATAAGTGTTGAGTCAAGTTGGCTGCAGAGATTTTTAGCTAGCTAACATTGCCGGAAAACTGTCCAGTAGTTTATGTAATGTCTCGGATTAATCACGTTTAACATGAGTCAAATCTGATCACCCTTTACTGTAGTTGATAAGTAGTTTTTTAATGGATCTATGGGGCATTTTAGCTCCCCATGACCACCCGATGCTTTGCTATTGCTGTGTGATTAGATTGTCGCTTTTTTCCACCAATGCTACGTGTTGAAATGTTTGTTTACCAAAACAGTTTACTCCTATTTTTGTATGAATCTATACATTGTGCCTTTAAGCAATAAGTGGCATGTCCTGACTGTGACCCCCAGTCGTTAACGCTTCTTCTTCCAAGCAGTTGGCTGCAGAGATGTTTAGCTAGCTAACATTGCTGGAAAACTATCGGGTAGTTAATGTAATGTCTCGCTTTAATCACGTTTAACCTCAGGAAAATATAGTTGCTAAAATGTTCCTTAGAGCGTGGGCCCCAGTTATTGTTTTTTGTGACAGTTGATCAATGAGGACTGTCCACGACACGATAAACAAATAAACTAAACTAAACTATTTTTGTATGAATCTATACATTGTGCCTTTAAGTGACTTGTCCGTGCCCCCCAGTCGCTAACGCTTCTTCTTCCTCCTGTCTCCCCAGCAGTGCTGTTCCCCGACTGGGCCTACAGACCCTCCTGGTCCCCGGGGTCCCGGCAGGTCCAGCTGTGGCACTTCCTGCTGGAGCTGCTGGGGGGGGGGGAGGCCGGAGCCATCGGCTGGGGGGGGGGAGTGGGGGAGAGTTTGTGATCCGGGACCCCGAGAGGCTGGCCAGGCTGTGGGGGGAGAGGAAGGGCAAACCTCACATGAACTACGACAAACTCAGCCGTGCACTCAGGTGATGAGACGACACGATACTGACACACATTTAGTCAAAGTCAAGTCAAGTCAACTGTATAGAGAGGCGAAGTCTACTTCCGACCCATGGGACCTTATTTCGGAAAAATTATGTATTGAAGTCAATGGGGAGAGAAAACTTATCTTTTGATCCCGTTTGAATTGTGCCACGAATTACACATATGATGTTTGTCAATCTTAAATAATAATTTCCATGTCAAAAAAGTCAAAGTTTGTCGTAAAACTGTTGAAATATAAGACTATGACAAATACGCAACTAGAAAGACTACAAATCCCAGAGTCCCGGTCCCGCATGCTGGCTCTTACTGAACCGACTAACTCCCCTTGTGTGTATGTACAGCTCTCAACATGCCCAGACTTGGAGTGATTTTCACCTCTTTTAATACTTTTCGCCTCATTCTGAAAGAAAGAAGTGAAATGTGCCAACGTGACGGCCATCTTGGTGTGTGGTGCGAGACGGGAGATGTAGTTCATTGAGCGGTTTCACATAAAAACAAGTGTTACTTCACAGTTTTACGACACATTTTTGTTTTTTTGACTTGTAAAATTCTCTTTTAAATTGACAAACATCATATGTGTAATTTGTGGCACAATTCAAACGGATAAGATAATCTTTCTCTCTCCATTGACTTCAATACATACTTTTTCCAAAATAAGGTCCCATGGAGCTCCCCCGGAAAGGGAGGGACTTCGCCTCGCTATTGTCAATCTTTCAGTTTGTGTCTACAGACAGAGAGATTGAAATACCGTTTTCCCACAATCACAAATACAAATGATACAAATATAAAAATATGTATACAAATATGTATTTTATTTACTCTTGTTTTGTACTTAAGTATAATGTGTAACTTGAGTATTTTAAATGTTATGCTTACTTACCTTATTCTTCTACTGCACTTCACATATTGTTCTCTTTACTTCTCTACATTTATTTGCCAACATTAGTTACTAGTTACTTTTCAGCTTTATATTATACAAAACTTACTAACTTAGGAATTATGGTTTGGTACATTTAAGTATATTTTGTTTTTCAAACTTTTCTACGACAAACTCAGCCGTGCACTCAGGTGATGAGACGACATGATACTGACACACATTTAGGGAAAGTGACTACATTTACTCATGTTTTGTACTTAAGAATATTGTGGAGGTTTTTAACTTGAGTATTTTCAATGTTATGCTTACTTCTATTCTTCTACTGCACTACAGTTGGTAGAAACAGATTGGTCTTTTGACTTCTCTACATTTATTTGACAGCATTAGTTACTAGTTACTTTTCAGCTTTATCTTATACATTTATTATATATAATAAACAACTTAGGAATTATGAATTAGGATGTCAAATACAAATATATATTATTTCAAAAATGGCCATTCTGCATAATGAGTACTTGTAGTTTTGGTTTTAAGTATTTATTTAAGTCTATTTTATTTTTAATACTTTTTCTACTTATAGTAAAACCAAGAAAAAACAAATGTGGGTCTCTGACTTGTAACAGAGCGTTTCTACGGTATTACTTATTTTACTTTAAGAAACACACACACACACACACACACACACACACACACACACACACACACACACACACACACACACACACACACACACACACACACACACACACACACACACACACACACACACACACACACACACACACACACACACACACACACACACACTGTTCTCTAACCATAACGTGTAATCCTTCCTCTCTGTGCAGCTTCTCCCTCAGGCTGAAGCTGTAAATAAAATGTTCTCCTCGCTAACATATGTTGTCAAATTAAAAAGTAAAATGCCCACAGATGTAATCTTGTAACACATGGCACACACACACACACACACACACACACACACACACGCACGCACGCACGTACGCACGCACGCACGCACGCACGCACACACACACACACACACACACACACACACACACACACACACACACACACACACACACACACACACACACACTGACACAGAGAACATTTTTTCTTCCAGATACTACTACAACAAACACATCCTGCACAAGACCAAAGGGAAGAGATTCACCTACAAGTTCAACTTCAGCAAACTCATCCTGGTCAACTATCCGGGATATCCTCCTCCACCTCCTCCACCTGCTCCACCTCCTCCACCTCCACCACCTCCACCACCTCCACCTCCTCCTCCTCCACCCAGCCATCAGGTCATCTCCACACCTCTACATCTCATATCACAGATTAAAGAGGCCCTATTATGCTTTTTGGGGTTTACCCTTTCCTGTTATTCTGTTGTATGGTTTGTGTGCATGTGAATGGTCTGCAGAGGCTACCATCCCAAAGTTTGCTCACTACGTAACACTGGAGCTTCTATAGCGCTCCAACTCATTGTACGCGATAGGCTAAGGGGCGGGACATCTCTAAGCGGTTGACCAATCCCAACAGAGCCGGCCAGCTAACCAATCAGAGCAGACTGGGCTCTGGTTTCAGACAGAGGTGCTGCAGCACAGGCAGTATGAGAAAAATAAAGAGCTTTTTGAACATTAAAGCCTGGAGACATGTCACAGTAGAGACATACTGATATGAAATTGAGCAGAATCGGGCACCTTTAAAGGACTTCACTGTTTGGAAAAATGCCATATTCCGTTAAACATTAAGTCATTTAAAAACTAATTTTCTCACCACATGAGCGGCTATTTAACAAGAGTTTTATTCCAAAAGAAATTACTTTAACAGCATTATTCAATAAAAATGGGCCGACTCTAATAGAATAATTACCTCAACTTTATAATTTAATACAAAACTGGCAGATTTGAATAGAAATAATTCTGGAAATGTTATCATTTATTATAATAAATGAGCGTCTGGCCGATGCTGTAATGTGAGGGGGAGTGAGCGTTTTAAAGTAATATCATGTTCAAGCAAACCAACAGCTGAGGTTATCCGTTTGAAAGCTATTTAAAATTGTACAATTTTTAATTGAAATCCAGGTTTTGAATACAACTCTTGATATCATGTATTGTAATTAAGTTTTGATTATGTTTCAGTTTTAAATGAGGCCACCAGTGTACCAAACATCAGGAACACCTTCACTTTGTAATGTCTTAATCATCTGAAGTGCTGCTTTCCTCTGATCTACATATTAAATAAGTCACTAATATATTCCTGGTGTTCTTGATATTTTGTGCACACAGCTTCAGATCATATTTTATTAAAGGATGCATGTTCACATTTCAATCATCCCTTCATTTCATCCTCCATGCGTCCAGCTGCTGCAGACCATTCCTCTTCCTCTTCTCCCTCCTGAGGGTGGTCTTCCTCTGTGTTCAGGATCCAGGTCGCTGACAGACACAGGTAACAAACACACCTGCACATCAGGAACATCTGCAGAGCTCAAATCATTGATTTATTCTGTTGTATTGTGGCTGTGTATTCAGTCTGTCTGAGAGTGAATGCATAATGAAACACAAATATTGGATCTAAGAAGGAAAAACGTAATTTATTTGTCTTTGTGTCTACAAATCCTTTGACTATCAAAGCCTACAAAGTGTAAATAGCCCAAAGCCCATTGTTAAAGGTAGGGTAGGTAAGTTTGAGAAACCGGCTCGAGATACACTTTTTGTTATATTCCATGGAATGCTCTTAACATCCCGATAGCAATGAATATCTTAAGTGCTTTGACAAAAAATCCATAAAAAAATATCATCTGTGGAAGCCGTAGTACTGTAAAAAGTACGACCAATCATTTTAGCCGGCCCAGCTAAAATAACTGGATGGCCTACCTGCCTGTCAGCCTTCCATCTGGGCACAAACTTATTTCGTGCCCTCATTGGTCATGTGCGCGTTCGTGTGTGTTGGAGGAGGGGCTCTGTAAGGAAGTGGCACATTTTCTCCGGTTGTGTATTTTCAAATTCTAGCGATCTCGAGCTGGCTTCTCAAACTTACCTACCCCACCTTTAACATAACAAATGGATCACACGGTTCAAAGGGTTAAAATGAGAGGCAGTTGCAGCACCCTATCAAAGTCAATCAAAGTCAACTTTATTGTCAATCTCAAAATATGTTTGTACACACAGAAAGATCGAAATACTGTTTCCCACAGTCCCGAGGTATAAAATAACACACACATTAAAATGCAAGAACACTCAATAATTACAAACAAACACAAAATAACCGTTTACTTCAAGTAAGCAGGATAACAGTGTACACAAATATTCAAAGAGGAAAACTAACAATCAAATGGAGCAAAGTATATAAAGGTGTTACTAAAGGAAGGGGTGTAAGGAACACTCAATTATATTTACAAGGAAAATAAATCATAAATATCATAAATAGATCGTAAATATTGAGTTGTACTATCTCGCTGCTGCTGTGACTGAACGGAAGAAATACAAATACAATGTGAGAAAACTGAAACCATAAAGAGTTTCCTTTGTTCATGCATACATACAAATGCATTACATAGACATACTAACCACACCCTTACACCAATTTGAAAACTTCATTTTTTTGTAAAGGATGGCTCAGAAATCTCCTTTTAGCAAATGGTACTGAAAAAAATGTAAATTGTTTATTTGTTGGGGACTATTTTCAGCCATGGATTGATACACATTTGGGGTTTTAATTAGTATTTACAACAGGAGGATGTATTCGGTCCCTGTTCAACAAGAAACATGTGACATTAATTGATGAGTTTTTATGTTTTCGGACAACAATGGGATCAACTGCAAGAAGAACAGAGATATGTTAACAATACTTAGTTTGGTACAGTCCCTCGTTGGATCCTCCTAATGCACTGGAAAAAATGCTGTTCCAAAAACAATAATGAAAACAAGCTGTTTTCACTTGAAATAAGTGCAAAAGTCTGCGAATAGAACAAGTGCAAATTAGCTTGGTAAGATTTCTTGAAATAAGAAGGGATATTTAGATAAATCAGATCTTGTAATTAGCTGGAGAACTCATTTTGAACTATATTTGACCAGAATCAGGAAATGTTGTGTAACAAAATAAGCCGCAAATGCTCAAAAGTGTTCTGTTTTCTGGTGATTTTCTAATAGATATGTAAAAAAAAGATGTGTTTCATCTGAGATACAACTCAAAATAAGATTATTTGACTTAACAAGATGATGCATTGTCTAAAAACAAGACCCGTTATCTCACTGCAGTGTTACTTCTGAAGTTACTATGTCCTATATCAAGTGTAAAGACATATTCTGACTAGATATTAGAGAAATATACTTGGCAATATTTCGAGTTTTTGTAGTGTGTTCAGTAATTGCAGTATTAGCTGGATATCAGAATGCTTTCCCCTCATATTTACTAAACTTCACATCACATAACTCACTCTTAAATGCTCGTTCGCTGCAAAATCATAGTGTGTTGAAATCTCAGTGAGTTCAAGTCACAAGAAATTGCTCTCCTGGTTTGCCTCACTGGTCTTTCTTTCTTTTTCAAGGTGACATGAGATGTGTGAAGTAATGCTAGGATGAAGTTCAATCTTCACCTTGAAGACAAATTCTGTTTTGTAAAAGAAACCATGAATAAAGTATCTGGGGTGTAACTGTGGAGTCTTTTGAGAGTGAATATCAAAGGGAAATGTTCTTCTTCTACCTTGAAAATTGTTATATAATGCAGCTTTTTTAAAATATTTGGTTTTAATTCCCCTTACTACAAATGTAATGAAATAGAAGCAACAGAAAGTTTGATATAAAATACATGAATGTTGTTGAAAAAACAAAATTCATTTCACATTCTTCCTCTGCAGAGAGTTTATTGACTTGGAAAACAGTGAACCTTGAGTTTGTTTTGATCAAACTAACAAGATCAAGAATGAACTTTCAAGCTTTCAACTTCTTATTTTTCACTTTTTCTTCATTACTTTAGCCGTACAAAGGTAAAATCTGTGTTATACAGACTGTAATGTTCAGCATAGCCAAAGTGAAAGAGACATTTTGCTGCGAAGGACATACACTTGATTTAAATGGATATATCAGAGTTTTTTTTTAAAGTGGGGTTGTATGAGGTCAGGATTCAGCATATTTCTTACAGTAGATGAACACACACACACGCACACACACACACACACGTACGCACGCACGCACGCACGCACGCACGCACGCACGCACGCACGCACGCACGCACGCACGCACGCACGCACGCACGCACACACACACACATACACACACACACACACACACACACACACACACACACACACACACACACACACACACACACACAGTTTGGAGAAACAGACAGGAGTATCAGCAAGGGAACAAAGCCATGTTCTTTTGTGAGAAAAATGTCTTTTAACTTCCTAAAAGAAAGTGCATGCCTAAACTATAATATTTAACTTTTTTATCTTCCTGGCTTTGTCCAAAAGTCACCAAATCTGCGTATACCAGCACCTCTTAAACTTACTTAATAACATGTTACTTATTGTATGCTCAATTATATTAGTTATATTAAGCATACATGATTTCCAACTAAACCTGTATAAAAACCTACTTTACCTTCCTGACAAACAGCCCATCAGATCATGAACTTAAGTTATCTATGCTCTCTTTGAAGCCGCTAGACTCCGTTGACAAAAACAACTATTTAAAGTCATCGGGAAAGTCTATCGTTAAAACATTATAAATATATTGTAAACTGAATCTGATTTTGATTATTTAAGTTGTCTAAAATATGGTTTGCTGTTGTTCCTGTCCACAGCAGTGCATTGCTTTTCTTCACTCATGTCTGTTTTACTGACTATGTATACATTTCTCATGCAACCCTACTTTAAAACATCCAAATATATCCCTTTAAGCCCAATTTACCCCCGAAAGCTCAATATAACAAATCGTTTTTTATACAAATGCGACATGAACTTGATAAATGTACGTGTATCTGAGTTCCTGTTGTCTTATTTTTCTTCTTTACTTGCTTGTAAAGCTCTTTGAGCACCAGGAAAAGCGCTATATAAATAACATGCATGAAACTCATTATATTTCCCTTTGACTCTCTCTGTTTTCCTGACAGCACTTCATCCCATGCCTCACCCCTTCTTGCTCCCATGCTGCCTCCCTAAGCCAATCTCGATGCCCCGGGCTCTCCACTTCCCCTTCTCCTCCCCCCCTTCACATCCGGGGGTCAACTTTAGGGAGTCGGGCCTCCCACCTCTCCCCTCGGACCTTCACATCGGCGCTAACGGCTGGCAGCAAAAGAGCCTCGCAGGATGGGATCTGAGCCACATCAGCCGAAGACGGTTTGGAGAAGTGAAGCAAACTGAAGAAGAAGAAGAGAGGAATGTGGGGGAGAGAGAGTGAGGAAGAGGAGCAACAGATGGACTGCTTTACCTCTTCAAATCTCTTGTCATTTTGTGTAACTGTAAAGTAGTTTATTATTCAGATTATTTATTAAGTTGGACCATGATGTGTGTGTGTGTGTGTTTTTGATATAAACTACTGAGGAAGTCACTTCTCCTCTGAAAGCACTTACTCCACAGTTGGGGAATTGCACTTGTAAACAACATTGCATTTGAGTTAATAAAACACTGCACTCAACTTGCATTATTCAGATGTTTGTTTTGCGTTCTCCCTCCCTACGTCTACATACATAACAATAAGAGCTGCCTACATGAATGAAGGATTGATGCATTCAAAAAGACACGGTGAAATGGCCATGTAAGGAAAGTGTAATGTCTTCTTTACAGCATCAGGACCAGCTGCTGGTGACTGAAGTTTCCACTCCGACACCACAGGGGGCAGTCGCATCTCAACACACACTTTCTTTACAGCTCAGATTTTCCCGGGAGAGAGTTGGAGCAAAGATGTCTAAGGAAAAAAGAGGTGTCACTCTGTGGTTATTTTCGGGAACCCTAACTCCAATTCAGATTAGCCTATGGGAAGTCAAGTCAACTTTATTGTCAATCTTTCAGTTTGTGTGTAAAGACAGAGAGATCGAAATACCTTTTCCCACAATCCCGAATAAGAAAATACAAATATATATAAATATGTATACAAATATGTATATATATATACACAATCAACAGACACATTTGTACATATGCACATATTAAGACCTAAATAAAAGCACAACAATCAATATATACAAAATAACAGTCACTTCAATAACTTTGAGAAATGTGCATTAGTGCAAGACTGTTCATAGCAGCGTAAAAAGTGTAAAAAAAAGAACATAGACATAGTTACATTTCTAAATAACGTCCTTATATGTTATATTTTTTTAATGTGAGGGTTTACCCATAGGCTATTTAGAATTGAAGGGGTTTTTCTTGTTTAAATGTTTTGGTTATTTAAATCGTATTAAATAGTAATGTGCAGATGTTTTTTAAGGACATCACATTCCCAATACCAGTGTGTTATCTTTTCAAATTGAAATCTGTTAAGAGAAAACTGAAAACAATGATATTCCTTTCTATTTACATAAGTACATTTCAAGGCTACAACGTATTTACTATTTCAAATCCAAGTCAATCTAACAAAACTAGAGCAAAAACCAAGTCTTTTATCATAGGAGCCAAATATGCGGACCGGAAATCAAAAATGTATCAAGTGACTCCTCTTTCTTTATTGACGATCTTTGGCTGAGATGTCATTTTGGCGCCGAATATTTCTCTGTATTTTGTCACTCTGCAGCGCGGGAGTCTGTGTTTTGTGTGTTGATGTTGGACCCTGACTGTGCTTTAAGCCATAAGTCTAACATTTTGTTTTTTTATCTGGTGAAGGAATATTTTTGAAGACAACATGCAGAGGAGCATCGTGTAAGTTAAAAGCCCGGAAATGATTAATATTTAGTTAACTGTTAGTAGAGTTAGGTTTGGGACTGGTTGGACTGGTTGAATCTGTATTACCTTTCCTACTAGCTTATTAAGTGTATTGTATGTTGTTTTTATGGGTAGTTATGTGCCTACATGACTGTGAAGTTAGCTTAACTGCACTGCTTGTAAGCTAGCTTTAGCATAAATTAGTCTATTTTAAATCCATCCGTTGGGCAAGAAATGCTTCACTTTTTGCCCAAAACAAATATAAGACCTCTTGTCATATCGTCCAAGTTATGTGTAACATGTAAGCTAAACCATGACAGTTAACGCTAGCTAATTGGTGTTGATACCGGTTGATACGAGAAACAGTTTAAGAAGAACTTGCAATAGCGTAACTTTAGCTATGTTATCTTGAGGCTTGCTAACTTACGTCTGCGTAACGTTACGTTCGTTATCAAGATGACGTTACGCATGAAACGTACGAGGTGGGAGAAGTACTCGGATCGTGTACTTGAGTAAAAGTAGAAGTACCAGAGTATATAAATACTCTGTTACAAGTAAAGGTCCTGCAATCAAAATGTTACCGAGTAAAAGTAGAAAAGTATTAGCATCAAAATTAAAGTACCAAAAGTAAAAGTAGTCGATCTGCAGATTGGTCCATTTCAGAATAATATATATGATATGTTTTTATAATGATTGATCATTAAAGTGTTATCAAAGCTGGTAAAGGTGCAGCTAGTTTGAATGACTTTGTATACTGCAGGGTAGCTTGTGAATTTACTCCAGGTGGAACTAAAGTCTGATTTAACACTTGATTATATTTCACATCATTCATCCAGATCTGCAAAGAAACTAAAGGTAAATAAATGTATGTAGTGGAGTAAAAGTAAATGATTAACCTCTGAATTGTAGTGGGGTAAAAGTACAAAGTAGCAAAACATGTAAATACTCAAGTGAAGTACAAGTCCCTCAAAATGTACAGTAGTTGAGTAAAAGTATTAGTTTTGTTACACCACTGCACACATACCAGCTGTCATTGGCAAAATGTACTGTATTTAATGACTATTTCTTTATCAATGTTTAATGTTTCACTGATAATGACCATGCTAACGCCCATCAGGCCATTAACTGTTCCTCTTCCTCCTCCATCAGATCCTTCTTTCAGCCCAAGGGCAAAGATGTTCAGAAGAAAACCTCAAATGAAGCGGTGAAAAAGTAAGATTTTGCCATGCAAGCGTTTCTTTAGTACACACCCATGAGGATGTTTACATTGGTATGATCAATATAATGTGAATTTCACGATCAAAACACATATTTTTTTAGCTGTTTTCCTTAAGGATGTTCAGAAATAACTACTATACAATTTGACAAACAACAAGGCTATCATGTCCAGTGTGACATACCCCTGGCTCTTTTGTTATTGTTCTATCTGTATACTATCCACTGTATACTTAAAGGGGACCTATCATGCAAAATGCACTTTTGTACGTCTTTTATACATGAATATGTGTCCCCGGTGTTCCAGGGAACTCACCAAGTGTCAGAAAACACAACCCTCTCTATTTTCCTCCATACCCAAATCTCTAAAAAAGGGGCTGCAACGGATCTGATAAAAACTGATACAGATTTGAACACTGTCCTGACGTCAGGACGGTGGCGCTACGGCTATTGGGCCAACTCCACCAATCAGGAGGAGACAGCCACGGCCATTGCCGTTCGAAAGCGCTGGAGACGCTGTAGTACATATGCCAGGCCTGTAGGTGGTGCTGTTCTCACAGAATCAGCCCTTGCTAAAACAGAGCTAGAAATTGTCAAATTGAGCGAAATGAGGCATGGCTAAAATGCATGATCTGTTTGGTATTTTGAAAAAAAAAAGTATAAATATGCCTTATATAGGTATGGTCCTACACTATATTATTCAAATATAGCATGATAGGTCCACTTAACCGAATTAACCTAAGTCATTCTGTTTAATTATATAAATAACTACAAACATGTAGAAGAAGATATTAATTCACATGAATTCAGAGCACTCTTGATCCACATGTCCCTCCTTGACTGAACCATTCATTATGTTACTGTTTTGATTATTCTTGCTATGAACTGGTTATTCTTTTTTGAAATGATATCCCACTTAAAACAAGTGTCAGACGAGCAACATTTGAATGGCTCATGAAGGTGCGAGTAATATTATCTTGGACATCAGTAAACTAAATCACACCATCAGATAATATTCAAGATTATTTTTGTGGTAAAACTCCTTTTGACAGCTTGAATATGGGCAATTATCTTTGAATCACTCTAATCATTGATCTTTGCTAAGTCAAACTTCTTGTTGGCGTTGTAATGAAAGGAGATAATAACGTCTGTTTCTCATCTCTGAGCGGTTTTAATGATCGTGTTCATTATCTCTAGACTAGAAGTTAAAACCCTCTTTAATGCGCCTTATGTAATGATCTTTTCACGATGGCTTTGACCTCTCTTTCACGACTCTTGCCTTTTTATTTTATACATCTCAGATCAATGTATTCTGCTTTTGCTATTGATCTAAAATTCTTAATACAGCATCTTGTGGCTGCGCTTTTTAACGTTTCTGTTAGAGCCAGTATTTAGATTTTTATAAGAAAGGCCACCTAATTGTGACGTCTGTAGTCAACACACTATAAAAGACTACAATTCCCACGGCGCCTGCTTCAAAGCGACAGTGAGCCGGCTAGAAAGACGCCGTCGAGGAACAGTTTTTAACCGTACAATTACCCTTTAAAGGGGACCTATCATGCAAAATGCACTTTTGTACGTCTTTTATACATGAATATGTGTCCCCGGTGTTCCAGGGAACTCACCAAGTGTCAGAAAACACAACCCTCTCTATTTTCCTCCATACCCAAATCTCTAAAAAAGGAGCTGCAACGGATCTGATAAAAACTGATCCAGATTTGAACACTGTCCTGACGTCAGGACGGTGGCGCTACGGCTATTGGGCCAACTCCACCAATCAGGAGGAGACAGCCACGGCCATTGCCGTTCGAAAGCGCTGGAGACGCTGTAGTACATATGCCAGGCCAGTAGATGGTGCTGTTCTCACTGAATCTGCCCAGAGCTAGAAATTGTCAAATTGAGCAAAATGAGGCATGGCTAAAATGCATGATCTGTTTGGTATTTTGAAAAAAAAAAGTATAAATATGCCTTATATAGGTATGGTCCTACACTATATTATTCAAATATAGCATGATAGGTCCACTTTAAATTATGAAGTTATATAAGCCTTATCACGAAAGAAACAATACCTAAGTTGATTGTTATTTTATTTGAGTTTTGCCTCTTTTATTTGTTGCATGTGTAAAAGTTTGTTATTTTATTCTTAGCAAACACATTGCATAACATCCTCCAAACCATCGGAGGCCAAGCAACTCTTCAACTGTTAGTAATATAAAGGAAGAAAACGAGTAAATAATGTCTGTTTTCGGCGTCTAGTGGCTTGATAGATAAAACAAGGAAGGAAGCCACGACAGTTTCCAAATTAATGAGACTTGCTGCTTTTATTTATTTGTATAAACTAGTTTCTAAGTTGTGTCTCTGCTCTTCCCCAGACCTTCCAAAAGTCCTCTGAAGGTGCAGAACGGCGTCCAGGAAGCGGATTCACCCGTCA